TCTCTATAGAAATCATAGGAATAAATGTACCTTCTCTTTATATAGTAAACATTGTGTGTAACAAAGAAAAGTTAAAAGATTTTCCAATAAGATCAAGGGTAAAGCAAAGATGCCCATTATCACCACTGTTATTTAACATGGTGATAGAAATGGTAGCTATAGACAAGAAAAAGAAATTGAAGGAATAAGGATAGCAGTAGCAAAACATCATTGCTTTCTGCAGATGATATGATGATATATTTAGAAACCATTAAAGAAGCAACTAAAATTTAATTGAAATAATAAATTCATCAAAGAGGCAGGGTGTAAGATAAATCTACATAAATCATCACTATTCCTATACCTAATCAAAGAACTAGAATGAGAAATTCCATTCAAAATAACTACAGAAAATGTGTGTTGGCTGTTGCATCTCCCAAAAATTACCCCAAAACTATATGAATTTAGCTATAAAATACTCTTTGTAGAAATTAGGATTTAAATCATTTGAGAAATATGAATAATTGCTCATGGGTAGGATGAGCCAATGTAATAAAAATGAAAATTTTACTTAAACTAATTTACTCATTCATTGCTATATACCAAACTCCCAAAAGTGTATCTTATAAATCTAGAAGAAATAACAATGGAATTCATATGGAGGAAGAAAAGATCAAGAATCTTGAGCGTAGGAATGAAAAAGTGGGAAGGAAGGGGGTCTTTAAACTATACTAAAATTCAGCAAACAATAAAAACAATTTGGTGACAGTTTTAAAAATGGGAGATGAATCAGTGGATTAAATTACATTCGTAATGTACAGAAATAAGCAAACATAGTAGCATACGATTTGATAAACCCAAAGCCCCCACTATTCAATGAAGGACTCACTATTCAATAAAAACTAGTAGGAGAACTGTACTGCAGTCAGGCAGAAATTAAGTTTAGATTAACACCCCATATACTACACAATGATAAGTAATAAATGGATAGAAGACCTGAATATAAAACATCACATCATAAACAAATTAGAGGAGCAAGAGAAAAAAATTACCTTTCAGACTTATGGATAGGGGAAGAATTCGTTATTAAATAAGTGATAGAGGTTTACACAAGATAAAATGGACAATTTTTATTATATAAAATTCAACAGCTTTTGTAGAAAAAGAAATCTAATGTAGTAAAACTTAGAAGAGAAATAGGTCACTAGGAAAAAAAGTTCCAAAAAGTTCATTTGATAATGGCCTTAAAACATGATATATAAGGTACTTATTCAAGTGTATACAATTAAGAACCATTCATCAGTAGATAATGGTCAAAGGATATGAGCAAGTAGTTTTCAAAGTAAGAAATCCAAAATAATCATAAGGAAAAAATGCTCTAAAGCATTAATAATTAGGGAAATGCCAATTAAAGCAACTTTAAGGTTCTAGACTGGCAAAGATGACAAAAGAGGAAAATGTTGGAAGAGCTGTGGGAAAACAGTGCCTGGCATTAAACAGATTGTAATAAATGTTTATTGACCTATTAATTGTTGATGGAGTTTTGAATTGTATCACACATTTTGGAAAACAGCTTAGAACTATGCCTAAAAAGTTATTGTGTATTCTTTGACCCAGTTCTGCCACTACTGTGGCCTATGTCCCCAAAGAATTCAGAGAAAGAGGAAAAGGCTCTGTGCATACAAAAATACTGATAGCAGCGCTTTTCAGGGTAGCCAAAATTGGAAACTAAAGGGGTGTCTTTCTATATACCGGAAATTGTGGTACACGTGACAGAATATTATTGTGCCATAGGAAATTATAAAATGAAAATTGTCAGAGGAAACTGGAAAGACTTCTGTAAACTAATGCAGAGTGAAGTGAGCAGAAATAGGAGAAGAATTTATACAATACATTAAAGAAAAAAAAACCCCAACAACTCTGAAATACTTTAAAATGGAGAACAATGCAATGATAGGCCATGAGTTTAAAAGAATGAAATTGAAACTTGCTGTCTCCTGACAGAGAGATGATGAACTTAAAATGTATAAAATGACATACATTTTTGGACATGGCTAATGTGATAATATGTTTTTCTGAATTATACAGTTCATGTTTTGGGAGCTTTGGTTTGTTTAATTGTTCAATTGGGAAATTGGGAGGGAAGATTCATTAAAATACTTTTTACTTGAAAAATAAAAATTACAAACTATTTTTAAAATAAAAAACCAAAGTGATTTTCCTGAAGTGTAGATCTGGCCACATTACTCCCTTCTTAATCAACTCTGGTGGCTTGCTCTGCTTCTGAGATCAAATACAAACTGTTTAGCTTTCAAAACCTTTTACAAACTTGCTCTCAACATATCCTTCTAGGCTCATTGTTCTTTACTCTTTTCCCTGCACTTTTTGATTCAGTCTCTGATCCTCACACCCAGCTCTCTAAATTCTTTCTTGATTCCTTTGCACTGGCTGTCCTCCATGCCAATAATGAAATCCTTCCTTTTAGAATCCACCTCTCAGAATCCCTGCTTTCTTTCAGGGTAAAGCTTGAGCCCCACCTTCTACATGAAGCCTTTTCCTTTTTTTCTTAACAGCTACTGCCTGGCCTCCGTAAACACCTTACATTTATTCTTTTAGGTGCATGCTGTCTCCCCTGACGACGTAAGCTCCTTGCCACTAGAGATAATTACAGTCTGTTTTTCTCTCCCCAGTTCATGGCCCATGGCAGTACTTAATACTTTTTGCTTTGAATGATAATATAGAAAAGTCTTTCTCCTTCCACTCCTGTAAAGGATGATGACGATGGTGGTGGTGGTGATGATGATGACGATGATGATAGCAGTTAGGTGGCACAGTGGATAGAGCACTGGACTTGGAGTCAAAAAAACCCGAGTTCAGATCCTACCTCAGACACTGACTAGCTCTGTGACTTAACCTCTGTTTGATTCAGTTTCCTCATCTATAAAAGTGGGAGTAATAATAGTACTCTCCTCCCAGGTATGTTGTGAGGACCAAATTGGATACTATTTGTAAAGTGCTTTGCAAACCCTAAAGCACTATAAAAATACCTGATAACGATGATACAGCTGTTACCCACAACCACTTGGATGTAACATTGATCTATAAAGAATGAAATGTATCATCTTTCATAGATGTCACCATTACCAAATACTAAATCTTCACAATACATGGAAAATAAGGTTTTCAAAATGTAGACCTCATGCAGAAGAAATTAAAACCATGTGGGATGAAAACCAAGAACATTGCGTCCTGTCATCTTGTCTGGTACTGGGGTTGTCTCAAAGATGATTTCAAGGAATCTACAGAAGATGAGCTCACAGCCCAATACTCTTATTCAATTATAAAAAGCAGTCATTTTATGCACTTGTGCAATAGTTTGTAGAACATTAAATAATAATAGAATAATAGTAGGATAGTGATTTGTCCTCAGTTTCTAAACTGAATTGATCAAAAAGATGAGAATGAGATAACAGGGATGAAGATGATAATGACAACTACTTCCTTTTCTGTAGTAGTTTTTGACTAAAAAGTGCATTCCTCCACACAAACTCTATGAGGCAGGTAATAGAAGTATTATCTCCATTTTCCATGAGAATGCTGAGGCTCAAGGAAGTGAAATTACATGAATAGATATCTGAACTCATTGGCAGCAGGTATCTGAACTCAAATTCAAATTCAGTTCTTTTAACTTCAAGTCAAGTACTCTTTCTGCTATGTCACAGTGCCTCTCAGTTCCAAGTAAGATATACTGAAAAGGGTATTAGGTTTGGAGTCAAAGAGACCTAAATTTTAAGCCTGTACTTTTACCTCTTAGCGGTGTGACCTTGGACAAGTCACTTAACTTTCCAAGATGACAGCTCCTTCACCTGTGAAGTGAGAAGGTTAGATTAAATGATCTCCCAGGTGTCTGAGCTCAAAATTTATTCTCTATGAAGATTGTTTAGAGGTCCTGGCATGATCTAGGTAAGAATAGATTGATATAGCAGAAAAGCGGATGTGATAACTTATTTTAAATATCTAAAAGGTTATCACATGAAATAGTACTAATTGGTAGAAATTACAGAGAGCCAGGTTTCAACAATTAAAGTTTTCCAAATTAGCTTTCTTGGGAGATATAGCTCCCTATCACTCAGGTCTTTCAAGCAGAGGGTGGAATATTGTGGAGGGATTCCTCACTCAGGTGCCTGTTTCGATAGGTGACCTCTTCCAATTCTGAGTCTATGAACATTTGAATAGCAGCCTTCCCATGGTCACAAAGCTGAAAAGTGGCAAAGCTGGAACTTAAATCTCTGTCTTCTGACTCCAAGTCTAGTGCCCTTTCCTTGGTAATCATAGGTCACACCCTCCCAAGATGAATGGAAAAGGAGAGAACCCAATAATCTCTACTTTTCTTATAAAGAGTATGAAGATGAGAGTTTATTTACACTTTCATCACATAGACTTGTAGAATAAGATAATTCCCTTGAAAATGTTGCAGCTTTACTGTAAATAGAGGTGAATGAATAAAGCTGTTGCTTTAATAAGAATACCAAAGCACATACTTACATGTCATATATGTTTTTTCAATTATTCTACTTGGAATTTTCACAATCATGGTCAGACAGAGGGTGACTCTTCTGATTGGAGTGCAAGGGAAATGTCCATTCTCTGTGCAGGCAGTGCTGTGCAATTATAGGAGACAATGATCCATTCAATGAGGATATATTTCTATAAAGGGGCCAGTTTTTAGAAATTACATTCTCAGTGGTTTTGTTCTAAGCCCTAACTTCTTGCATCCAGGAATATTGTTATATAATCAAAAAGCTGTAGAACTAGAAGAGACTTTAAAGATAACCCAACTTAATCCCTTTAGCTTACAGTGAGGAAACTGAAGCCCAGGGTGGCTAATGGACTGGCCTGAGGTCACTCAGCTAGACCATGGGTGTTCAGATTCTGATTAGTACTCCTAGCAGTGACTTTGTCCATACTCCGGTTTCTAGTCAGGTTGAAGCTGACAACTTTCATTTCTTTTGTTTCTGCAGATCTAGTGTGCCAATGGCTGCTTAGTGTTTCCTTAACTTGCAAGATTGTGCCAATCAGAAGGTAGTTTATTTGAAGGAGCTCACTTCTTGCTTTTCCGGCCACTTGTTATTGCGTCAAACAGTTGAAACACTGTCTCCTCATCTCCTCTGCATGTGGCTGAAAAACTTTAAAATATGGCTGATTGTAGCTTTGGCAGAAAAAACCTAAAATGCCCTGAATGTTCTGGTAATTCCCAACCAGACAGGATTAATATGTGTCACTGCAAAAGAAAAGATGGCTCTGATTCTATCATTTCTGTGGTGGAGACATCCGAAACTTCAGTCACCAACAGTTTAGAGTTTCCACTTACGACAAACACCAACAGAAATAAGAACTCGAGTACTGAAAACAATACCATAAAAGAATCTGTCAACTTTGAACATACTTTGGAAGAGTCACCAATCCTCTCTCCACCTCTCTCCATGTTCCCATCCCAGTGGTCATCCCCAAGTTTATCCTCATCAGTGATTTCACAAACATCTTTCCACCCAAAGGAACAATTCTCTAGCACTGGAGAGGTGAGCAGATTTCTGGTCAGTGGCATATTATTTTTTACGTTTGTTTCTAGGCATTGCTCAAATCAATTATTGCTCATGATTCTAAATGACCAGGAGTGCTCACTTCAATTTTATAAACATTATTAAATGCTTACTATGTGAAGAGCACTCTACTTGTCATTGGGGTAGATACAAAAATGAATAAAATGTAATCCGTACCCTGAAACAAGTTATAGTTAAGGTATCACATCCCCATACCTAATACCCAGTACCCCTTTTCTAGGGATAGGGAAAGAGGATTGAACTTAATCACTAAGTATCATATGAAGCAGTAGATTATATCTGTGACATGTCATAATTACTCAGATTCCCATTTTGATGTAGTTTTTCATATTCTAAAGCAGCATGGGACCCAAACATGGACCCTCATACAGATATAGAGAGAACAGAGATGTACCACACAATCTCCTGACAGTCTCAGACTGTGAACAGCGAGGGTTACACAGAAGAAACAAAGAGGGGTAGTGGCCCACTCTCTGATACTTTCCTTGGAAGTTTGCCCCCCCTCTTCTAAACTCTGCATGCAGAATATCGCCAAAGATTGGCTAGTTTGACCCGTATGGCACCCCTGACCCCACCTAAATTCTCTTCCCTCTCTAACCCAGCAGATGGAGTTTCTGGAGCTCAGCTCTAGTAAATGGCCCCAATGTGTACCCTCACAGTTACCCCAGTTGCTTATGCAAGTACTGTCAATCCAGATTTCCTCACTTCTGAGAAAGAAGCTTAGATTTTAGCTTAAATTAAATCTGAATTTCAAAGCACTTTCACCAGCTGATGTTGATTAAAGTTCAGATATAGGTTGAAGGTATTTTTATTACTTAAGAATAATTCTGGTTGTCTAGATGTAATGTCACATGTAGTCTCTGAATAAGATTGCTTTTCACCAGTGACAGTCAACCTTTTGACACCTCATTGGGCAAGTTTGGACTTATTCCTGTTTACAATTGGGCTCAGCACAGAAATGCTAATATATTGTAATATAGGCCAAGTATCAGTGGAGATGTGCCAACTGTTGGCATTTGCAACAGCAGCAAAACAATCCATTGAGTGCTTGCTGGCTTAGGTGCCTACCCCCAGACGCAAAGCCAAGAAAAGCCATGAGATTGGTCATATAGGGTTTTTTAATTTGAATGAAAAAGCATTTCTATTTCCATTTCCATTGAAAAATGCCTTGGTCTACATTAGAGATTATATGTAGTTATCTGAGTTAAAGTATTGGCTTTATATTAATAGGAATATTACATTTGTAATATAATTGTATTTCTTCTTTTTGGCCCAAAGCCCTTACGAACCTCAGACACAATTGAGACATGTAGAAAACTCTCACAACAGCAATGGATGCGTGCCAGCTCTGCAGAAGGAAAAATTCCTCATGTGAGGATGGAAGATTGTACTGCTATACAGGTATGAGTCAAGCACTACTTTTTCTGTGTTCCAGAATGATTTTTAAAATGAGGCTGGAGGAGCACACAGCTCTTGATGCTCTCATCTATGTTAACTACCAGGAGGAAAATTTCCATTTTTGCTAATCCAGTAAACTAAGGGCAAACCATTTTCCATAGTGGAATATGAACAATTCTCTACCAGTTTTAAGACAAGCCAAATTACTGATCAGCACAGGCAGTTTGGGGTGGAGTCAATGTGAATAAAGAATAATGAGGTGAAAAAAAATCAGTTGAATGTTAGGGTGTTTTATCCATATGAATTTTTTTCTTTACCTGGATATTTTTGTACCACCTAAGCATAACTCCAGAATTCCTTTTCTGGGTTATAACTTATTTCTTTGTTGTAAATTGGCTAACGTGTCAAAAAGGTTTATTAGGCACAGCCCCAATCCCTTACTACCTTTGTGACCCTGAACAAGCTACTTAGCTTGCTGGGCCTCTGTTTCCTCTCATAAAAGGAAGGTATTCGACTATGTAATCTCTCAGGTCACTTCTAATCCTATGATCCATTTTGTTGTGGAAAGAATATTTCAAGGATATATGATGTCATCAGTGTGAGTAGGCACTTCACTGATGTAGATTTCAACTACTTTGCCTTAGTAGACAATTTCCATGGATTGCTGTGGCTGAAAAAAACAATCACAGAAGGGACAACTTCTGATGATGAACCCCTATAAATTTAGCTAAGCTGGTCCTCAAACAACAGATACATATTCTTTCTCTAGGTCTATACTTAAAATACTTTCAGCCCAATAGAACCTGCCAGAGCTCTCTATTTCTGGTGCAGCTTTCAGGTGTCTCTGATTATCTTCACACCATGATAAGAATAAAGACTTAGATTGATATAGCTAGTAGTCACCAAGAAATTAATTTATTTTATACTCATCACAACCTTGTTGTGAAAATATCAACTCCATGGAACTATGCCCAAAGGGCTATAAAAATGTGCATACCCTTTGACCCAGTAATAGCATTTCTAGGGCTATATCCCAAAGAGATCATACAAATGGGAAAAGGACCCACATGTACAAAAATATTCATAGCAACTCTTTTTGTGGTGGCAAAGAATAGGAAATTGAGAGGATGCCCATCAATTGGGGAATGGCTGAGCAAGTTGTGGTATATGAATGTAATGGAATACTATGGTGCTATAAGAAATGATGAACAGGCTAACTTCAGAAAAACCTGGAAAGACTTATATGGTCTGATGCTGAGTGAAGTGAACAGAACCAAGAGAGTGTTGTACACAATAATAGCCACATTGTGTGATGACTAATATTGATAAACTTAACCCTCCAAAGGCTTCATGATGGAAAATGCTATCCACATCCAAAGAAAGAACTATGGAATTTGAATGCAGATCAAAGCATACTATTTGCTTTTTTTTTTCTCTTCTGTTGAGTTTTGTTTCCTCTTTCTGGTGGTTCCTCCTATTGGTTCTAATTCTTACTTACAACATCTCTAATGTGAAAATATGTTTAATAAGAATGTATATGTATAGCCTATATCAAATTGTACACTGTCTTGGGGAGGGTGGTGGGGAGGAAGGGGGAAAAAAATTTTAAACTCAAAAGGGTATGGAAGTGATTGTTAATAAATCAAAATAAATTAATAAAAAAAATTTTAAAAGAAAATATTAACTACATTTTACAGACGAATAGACCAAGAGATTCAGAAAGCTTAAGGGATTTATCCAAGGTCCTATAATTGTTAAATGGCTGAGCCAGAATTCAAACCCATATCTGATTCCAACTTCAGGGCTTTTTTTCCTACATAATGTTGCACCTGTTTGGCTTCTGGATAACATATAATCTGAGAAGGTGGACAGGTTTTTTTTTTTTCTGGGACTTTTTGGATCTTGAGAAATGCCATTTCTCTCTGGATGTGGGACATGCCAGAAAGTGTTGTAAGGGCAGTCTTTCTTATATTTTTCCATCAAAGAGGATCAAATTAATTAGACATATAGAAGTAGAAATATGAGTTGCTTCCTGGAAAGAACAGCAGACTGGGTGTCAGGAGAGGTAGGTTTGTAATATTATAGAATGTTAGGGCTGAGACCTTAGAAATGATCTGTACAGTTTTCTCATTGATGAAAAAACTGCTGAGACCCAGATAAGTTAGTGAGTTGCCAAAGATAACAAAGTTACAGCACTGGCTCTGTCATTAATTCAATATGTTAATTTTGGCCAAACCACTTTGGCTTGATAATCCTCAGTTTCCTTTTCTGTAAAATAAAGGGATTGGGTGTATGCTGTCTAGGACTTCTTCCATATCTCATATTCTATAAAATGCTATTAAGAAAGAATCATCTTAACTCAGAACTTATTGGGTCCACGCATCATTTAGCTTGCTTTTTTTTTTTAAACTAGAAGTTTCTCCCTCTGAAGTTATGTCTGCCCATATGGTGTCCAATGGTAAATAAGTTAATACTTGTGGAGAAATTGAATCGTGTCAACAGAGGAGTTTAGCTGTGTTTAGATGATAGATTGTATGGATGAACTGAGAACTATGACACTGCAGCTTTTTGTATTGAAATCTTCATGGCAAACTTTTTTTCTTCCTTCTGAAATTATAATTACAACATGTTTGCCAGCCGTGGAACATCCTAGGAGGGGCAGAGTGGCAGAGTGAATAGAGAGTTGACTCAAGAGTTTGGAAGACCTGGGTTCAGATATGTGTGTATACACACACACACACACACACACACACACACACACACACCACGCACGCACACACAGATAGATTGTGTGACTCTAAACAAATTATTTGACCTCTCAGTTAACTTTCTAAGGCTACAAATTGCAGAACAGTTACTGAACTTCATTGATTAAAGGAATCTCCTCACCAAGAGTTCCCTAAACCAATGAAATGATAGGTCTGGGTAGAAAAAAAGAAAAAGAAAAAAATCATAGTATGATCATACAGTGTTGTACAATGGAAAAACTACTCAACTTGTAGTCATGGGACCTGGGTTTGAATCCTTACTCTGTTAACTTATTAATTGTATGAATTTGGGCAAATCATTCTTGGGCCTCAGTTTCTTTCTCTATAAAATTAGGGAGCTGGACTAAATTTTCTCTGAAGTCCCTTTGAGCTTTAAATTCTATGATTCTCTGACCTTTCTAGGTTGAGAAAAAGGCATCAGGTTTTATAGACTTTCAGGGATGACTTTGACAAGATTCTTATTAGATGACTTCTGAGGTCTTTTTCAACTTGAAAATTCAATGAGTAAAAGAAATGATTCATGAAACAGAAAATCAGTTTGTCAATAAACATTTGTTAAATGTTTACTATGTTCCAGGCAATGTGGTAAGTCCTAGGGATATAATAAAGGCAAAAAACACAATTCCTGCCCTCAAGGAACTTAATTCTAATGGAAGAGAAAATATGCAAACAATTAAATACATATAAGGCACATATAGTGTAAATGGAAGATATTTGTGGGTGAAAGGCACTCTAGGAGTGAGGGGATATGGTTTAAGGGGGACCATGAGGGCGACTGGGAAAGTCTTCTTATACAATGTAGGATTTGAGCTGAGGCTTGCAGGAAGTTAGAGGTAGTGAGGAGAATGGAGCATCTTCTATATAGAGAAGACAGTTGATGAAAAGCACAGATTTGGGAGATGGAATATTTTGTATAAAGAATAGAAAGAAGACTTAACATCCCTGTGTTTTAAAGTGTATGGAGGGAGTGAAAGGCAAGAAGACTGGAAATGTAGGAAGGGGCTAGGTTGTAAAGGGCTTTTAAAAATAAATGGGATTTTGTGTTTGATCCTGGAGTTAATAGGGAGGCATTGGAGTTTATTGAATAGAAGGATGATATGGTGAGATGTGTACTTCCAGATGATCACTTTGACAGCTGAGTGAAGGTGGATGGGTGTGGGGAGAGGCCTGAGTCAAGGGGACCAATCAGAAGGCTATTGAAATAGTATAGATGTGAAGTAATGAGGGCCTGCACCAAGGCAGAGGCTATATGAGTGGAGAAAAGGGGGTTTATACAAGAGATGTTGTACTGGATATATGGAATAGATGTGAGTGAGGATTTGTGGTTGGCACTGCTGTTGTGAGCATGAGTGTCCAGGAGGATAGTGGTACCCTTGACATAATAAGGGAATTTGGAAGAGAGAAGGTGGGGACGGAGGTGGGGAAGATGTTGACTTTGACATATCTGCAGGACATCCATTTTGAGGTATCCATCCAATAGGCAGCTGGTGATATGAGACAGAAGTTCAGGAGAGAGATTAAAACTACCTAAATAGATATAAAAATCATCTGTATAGAAATAAAAATTGGATCCATGGGAACTAAGGAGATTACCAAGCAGAATAATATAGAGCAGTGGTAGCAACTCAAAATAGAAATAAGAGCCACTAAACCATACATAAAGATCCCTGCAGACTGAATGTTGATTTAGAAAACCATGAACATTAACATCATTTAGGTTTTATTGTGTTTTCATTTATTTTGTTAAATATTTCCCAATTACATTTTAATCTTGTTTGGGTCATACTGGGAGTGTTGTGGGCTGCATTGGGCCTTATGTTTGATACCTTTGTATGAAAAGAGTATTCTTAACTTTTTTTGCATCATGGACCTTTTTAGCAATCTGGTGAAGCCTAAGGACCCCTTTTCAGAATGATGTTTTCAAATGCATAAAATAAAATACAATTACAAAGGAAATCAATTCCCTATCAGAATATTTTTTTAAAATAAGTCACAGTTCCCAAGTTAAAAACCAACCCTTGGTATAGAGGAGTAAGAGAAGAGGGCCAAGGAAAGACTTTTGTGAGACATCCACAGTTAGTGGGCATCACCAGGAAGAAGATCCAGCAAAGGATCAGCTAGACAGGTAAGAGGAGAACCAGGAAAAAGCAGTGTTACAAAACCTAGAAAGTAGAAAGGACCCAGGAGAAGAAAGGAATCAGCAAGGTCAAAGGCTGCAAAGAGAGTGAGAAAGAT